CTGATCAATGTGACTTATGGGGTGAGAGATCTGAACCATCCATTCCATAGATGAGCCATCAACATTATGGAAGATGCATGAACCATTATCCCCCTTTCTTTAAACCATTTTCCTATCAATATATTTAGGTAAATTAAATCCATTAAAGATATAGTGCAAACCATAAATTGTATATTCCATCTCATATTTTCCATAAGAATATTTTAATAATGTCAAGTCAAGATATTCCTTCAATAATCAAGATAAGATATTGTCAATATTTCCTAATCAATATTTGGCCATATGCTACAAGATATAGTTACCATATTTAACAAATTTGAAGACAAAAGCAACAAGATAAGGCATCCAAGGTTGGGGTGTGCCACCCATGTATGGTATGTGGGGCCCCACCTAATACCCACATGGTGGGCCCATGTGCACTATGAGCCCTCATGTATTTTTTAATAAATATTTTAAAATTAAACAAAATGAGTTTTAAAACATTATAACTTTGTAAATTAATAACTTCATTTTTATAAGTCAAAAAATAAGAAATAAAATATCAAATGACTTATAAAAATTTAAATAATAAATCTAAGATAGTTTAATAATAAAATGAATACAATTAAATTAATATAATGGGAAGTGGATTCATATAGTTTAGGAATTCAATCAACGATCACATGGTACTCCACCTTCAACTGTGGACTACAGACCACACTGCTTTATCAAACCGACCCAGTGTTTTCCATGACCCACAATCCAAGCAGGAGCTCATTAGCGGGTCACCTAAGTCTGGTCGATGAGCCAAGGAGTCGCAATCTCAATCTGTGGATTACAAGTCCTCCCCTAGAGATAAGTCAAGGTCACCACGACCTGATGCGACCACAACTCTATGGCGCATAGAGGTATCTCTCGCACATGCATATACTTCACCCAAAGGTGTATATCTAGCTTTCTCGAACGATCTATCTATATGCATGCCGTGTGATGGAACAAGGATGAAGTTTTAGCCCATGTCTCTATAGGCTTACCATCACACACAAGGGTCACACAGTCCCTCGGCTCACTCATCTAGGCATAAGCACCGCTCATCTAGGGCTAATCGAAAAATCCTTATCGGTTTATTTTTTATGCCCAGGTACCTTGGGTTTTCCAACCGACTAGTTTAAATCGTCAAGCATAGTCCAATATCCGCAAATATCATTTGCTTAGTATGGTCTTCAAGGGACCACACTCCCACTGAGTTTATGTTC